TCAATTTACAATTGTCTTCTATCACCGCGGGTGATGTTGTTCATGTTCCATCCCTTACATGGGTGCAGCGTGTGAAGCCAATGCTTGGTGCTACCCACGACCATATGCCTCGACTGAAGTTAAAAGCTAAACTCACTCACTATTTGTCTCACGTCAAGTTTAAAATGTTCTTCAAAAATGGTTTCCTTATTAAGAGACTCATCGTTTGTATTTAAGGATTGGTGTTTGGTGTGTTGACATGTTCTTGAAAGAAATAATTAGTTTACAAATACTGGAAGGATGATCAGGTTTTACAACATGTTGGATGTCCTGAAAATAAATATTTGCGACAATATTTTGCACATAACCGTGAGAAATCTAAAAGTCCAGAGATAAAAATCTTTTGCTTAAAAGAATAATTGTCCGACTCATGCCTTCCTTATTATAAATAATATTTTGCCCATCTATAAGCAGGATCGACAAAAATATTCTGTCCTAAAATCCCAAAACCTTTAAGGTCGGCCTCTAGATAAATTATACATCGAATCGCATGTAAGCCCTCATATGTCTCCAGACCGTGTTCGCTGAGTGGAGAAATATTATGCTTGTGGTCATTAAAAGCCAACACTACTCCTACTAACATCTTGATTGAAATACATACAGTGCGAGGAGTAGCTGAAACTGTCTGAGCCTAACCACGAAGAATGTATAGTACTCCCTTAACAGTTTGCATGTACATGTATTAAGTACAGCACTTTCCATTCTTCCAGACTGCGTTGAACCAAATACTAGTACACCGCCAGGCAGCATAATTTCGCAGGCAAAGTGACGAGGTATTCTCTGTTGATGAAAATGGACAAAATAGTACTTCCAACTGAAAGGGTTAACTCCAACAGCTATTCCGGACATGGTGTTAACATGGAGGATGGTGCTTCTGTAGAGGTGGGCAGCGGATGTCGAGAAGGGACGAGTCGGCCTAGAAGATGATCCAGAACCATGAAGACGTTCCACTGACACCACTCAGGAAAATGTTAATATAATACGTGAAATGATTATGGATGATCGACGACTTACCACACGTCATATAGCCAATACAGTAGGCATCCCTCATAAGAGTGTTGGGAACATTTTGTGGGCATGACAAAAGTTTCAGCATGCTGGGTTCCAAGGCTTCTGACTCCGGATCACAAACGCTCCAGGTTCATCTCGTTTTGAAGAAGACCCAGTTGTGTTGAGCTCTGTTAAACCATGTATACATCTTTGGTTCCCCCCAGTCTGCCAGAGTCTAAACAGCAGTCAAATCAGTAGAAAATCTAACATTTACCCTTTAGCTAGTAGGGTAATGACGTCGGTCTTCTGGGATTTCAAGGAAATCCTAAGGTGGACTAACTCCCGAGAGGTCCAATGCTATGCTAATTTGATTTTGCAACCGCGTGAAAATATGAAAGCTAAACGTTGTTGAAAAATAATTGTCTGGCAAGCAAATGATGATGACGTCATTGTTTCTGTCACAGAGAGACAAGTGGAATTAATACTATGTGGATTCCAAAACCATCAAAGGGATTTGCTTGGCTTTGTACAGTCTCTTGAAAGAACCAGGCTACATTCTTTCAAAACATTTGATTTTTCAACTTTGTACACCACTATCACACAAGACAAACTTAAGGCTAAACTTCATTCCTTGATCCATGGGGTTTTATTATAAAACGTGGTTTACAGAGCTTGTCCCAAAGTCGAGAAATTTCTCTTTCTGGTTTTGCAGGCATTCCGGCAACTTGTGATACTGACGTCCGCCCCTTTATCGTATCACAACTCGCTCGTTTGTCTGTCAAATGGGATACTATCTGGGGTCTTTTTATGAACGTGTTCTCAACTGCAGTTGTGATCGTTCCCCAAAAGGCGATCTCGGGCTTGTGTGTGCACGTGCATCACGTGCTGTTCATGCATGCGTTTCATTGTGATAAAATGTTGCGTTCAGATGCAACGCCACAGTAATGTAAATATACAACTCAGCGGTATATACAATTAAATAATTAGTTCCCTTATATTTGTCGGTCGTATAAATCCATTGCCATTTGGAAGAAGAGTTTTTAGTTACATGCATTCATATTGCATGTTGCACGTTTAGAATTCAACCATGAAATGCAAGCGTTCCACATATTCCTTGTTGTTAGGATTCGCACGTATGTCAGGGCGGGTAAGAAATGCAGTTATGAATATAAAACACGGGGTTCATATTGTTTTTAAATGCATTGCAATTGCATTTTCCCACAGTTGTTCTCTGTTAAAAATAATACTGTGATTTTCAAACAATTTCGAGTATTCCTTTTTTCAAAACTTCATTGATGAGCCTCCAAAAAAATTATTCTGGATGAAACGAAAACGTCGCATGGACTTAGCCCTGTTCTTGTAAACCCTTTACTTTGCGAATTAGGGGATCAATATTGTGATATATACTCACCACCAAAAGAAACCCGAATACCATACATGTTGGTTAATATATGAAGACTTACTCATATTCAAGAGATTTTAGACTGATTCGATGCATTAACGAACATACTGGTATGTTGTTTGGACCGCTGTGGACATCACATGTGACGTCGAGACACACCATTTGTCTCGTGCAGCATATCATGATGAAAATAGACCCGTGAGGATCCGGGGTAGAATAGGTCTTCAGCAACCCATGCTTGCCGTAAAAGGCGACTATGCTTGTCGTAAGAGGCGACTGAGGGGATCGGGTGGTCAGGCTCGCAGACTTGGTTGAAGAATGTCATCGATCCCAATTGCATTCTCGATCTGTGGAAACGAGCTAAACATGCCAAAAGTGCGAGAACGCGAGATTCTGGCCAAAAGGAAAAGTCAGTGCTAGTGATGTTTGTTTGTTGTGTAACGCCGCACTCAGCAATATTCCAGCTATATGACGGCGGTCTGTAAATAATCGAGTCTGAACCAGACAATCCAGAGATTGATATCATGAGCATCGATCCACGCAATTGGGATACCATGACATGCATCAACCTGGACAGCGAGCCTTACCACCCGATCCCATTAATCGCCACTTACGACAAGCATAGTCGCCCTTTTACGGCAAGAATAGGTTGCTGAAGACCTATTCTTCCCCGAAAGTTACCACGCCCGTTGGGCACGATGACACGCAATGAACGTCACCGAAACTGACCACTCGATCCATTGCGACAAATGAAGCTGTGTACCTTTGTTTAATAAATAAATTTCCATGCGAGTGGAAGTTTCCTGTGCGTGCGTGCGTGCGTGCGTGCGTGCGTGCGTGCTTACATGCGTATATGTGAGTGTGCGTTGAGTGGTGACTGTCCCCAGCAACGCTAAATCCCGGACACCATTTTTCTTTTGTTTTAGTCGAAGCAGGCTATAATCCGCCAGACCAAAACCCAGCTCCATTCCTGAGGTGCTCTCATGAACAGGATTAATTTGAATTCTTACACTGAACCATGATGACTTGCGACTGTCTAGCCCTGCGAGGACACCGCCCGATCTATCTGACATTCGCGACACGCACAAACACAATTCCGTAAACAACTGTAGTCGCCATGACAACGATACGGCCTCATTGCACATCCTTAACGGGGTGATAAGGTTCAACATATTGAAGTTAGTAGTTATTATCATGTTTTCACCAATAGAAACACCAATCCTAGCCTCGCGTGACCCGGGGCCACCCCAACCGATCCGCTCACCAGTGATGTCTCGTCGATACGTGACTTGAACGAGACTTGTAGAACATTATCCACCCCCCTTCATCATTATCTCTCCGACATGTTTTTAGCAGCTCTTGAGATTATGATACATCCGGGTTATCACACGAGGGCAGACGACACATCAAAGACTATGGCCGCGCAAACAAATGACAAGAAATGATTGACGTCTGCTTCAAAGTGACGTTGGACTAAGCGACTAGTACCTGCGACAAGCATTTGGCAGTGGCCTAGACATTTAAACACATATTCTCTCACAACACACAAAAATCATCGCGGAGTTGTGTATAGAGGAAGAAACAAACCAAATGACTGATCGTGTGCAGGCATGACGGCTAATGTAGCACACCACAAGTTATCACATTTCGGGCACAACATATACATGACTCTTTCTCGGGGTACAGATTGTGTCACTGGAGCTATCTTATTGTCAAGTAAGCGTCATGACAGGTGCAAGCCTTGAATATCCGATTTATAATTAAACAAGATTTCAGAGACATGCGAGGATAAATGACCCTTCTAATTGTACGCTGATGCCCAGGAAGACCACGTCGCCATGTCCATCTGACTACAAAAGTCCAGTTTTCACCCTTGCCGAACAACGTTGGAATCTCGTGGCTCGATCGTAGCGAACCAGTGGCTATTACGAGTTATGTCCCTCCTATTGACCAATCAGATTCCACCTCTCATATCACTTGCATTTGCTTCCAACAAAACGGCGGCTCCGAAACAAGACGATCTGATCGATAATTAATATCTTTGTTATAAAACGGGTCTTACCTCCCGAAGTGCATCAGATAATTTCAGCACATTGATGAAAAAAATGAATTTGGAAGATATCTGGCGACGCCTAGTTGACGGGACACATGCTTTGCAAATCCTGCAGTCGACCGAAATATGCACTTTGAAATCCATGTTGTTTACGAACCGGACGCGAGTTTGATTGGACTATGCATATACTCATTAGTTCAGCCAAAATGTAACTCCAGAATTTCCGCCTAGTTCGGCAAGGATGGAAACTGGACTTTTACAGTCAGTTAACCCCCTTGCCTTGGGAAGACGCGCAATGCCAGTCTGCTGTGCAGTCGATCTGTGGTGCCGCGATCAGCCAATCTGATTCCGCAGTGTTGTGCCAGCGGTTGAGGATGCAAGTGGATGGAAGCGCCATCATAAGGTATTGCTGAATATTTTTTGGGAATTGAACACTTTCTATTTTGATCAATGTCACCCAACAAGGTCGATGCAGTCAGTTTACGTATTACTATTCGTATAACGCAAACACAAGCGTCACCTAACAGCATCATTCTGTAGTTTAATCAGAGATCAGATCAGCAAAATACATGTACTAGAGAAATTCAACTTTCCCGTCAAATCCATGTGCCTTTCGGGTGGTGACACTGTATGGTCAATCCGACTGGGAGTCACTGGTATTTTCCTCAACCCCCTTCAGCCACACGAGACGCTGGGGGCGCGGACGCCGCGTCTTACTTCCTCCCTGGGGGTATCTGTTTTCGGAACTATTTTGCGAGGAGTTCCTACATGGCACCGGAAGTAGACGAATAGGAGAACTGGTCACTGTATCATCATCGTCTGCGGCGACGTCATGACCACGTCCGCCGTCGCCGTGTCGTGGGCTTCTTCTTGTGTACATTGTCCTGCTCGAGGAATGGCTTCGAAAGGTCTTCTCGATGGGGCACGCTGAGGAATTTTGGTCGCGACCTCCCACTCGGGAAGGGCAGCTTGTCGCGCCTCTGAGAGACACATTGGACAGATCAGACAGGTTGGCAGCAGGGTCCGATTGTTGCCTCTGTCTCCGTGACTTGACATACGGTTCCCCTAAACTCCGGGCAGAGCTCCTTACTTTGCTGATGGAACCACTCTTAGACAACGTCCTTAATATTTTTCGTAACTCTTCCCTGTTCGCCTCTTTGTCAGCCTCACCTACAACACATCATATATTACATACGAATATTTGCATAGAGTTTTTCTTTAAAAACAATGGACATGTGATGTTTTCGTCTATCCATCATCAGTAGGTCAGTAGGTAAGCGACCGGCCATCACGCCCAAAGAACTGGGTTCGATTTCTCAACATGGGTACAAGAGGTGTCAAGTCAGGAGCCAAACCCCCCGGGCATCTCTCGGTTTCTACGACAAGCTAGGGGTACTGGGGACCTGTTCTACTCTTCCGACTGACCTCGTGAATCTCTGTACATACCTATTGTATAAATCCTCGTGTATTGAGGAAATAAAACTTGATTATTACCTTCTGCAAAATCAAACTTACATTTGTTTAAATACTGTTTGACCTTTGCATTAAAAGATCCTTTGCGAGCGGGTTCAATGTCATTCAAAAGTTCATCGTATTCAAGGTCGTCCTGTTTTCTGTCACAGCAACAACAGAAGAAGTCGAGGCAGAGTTGATTGCTAATTGTGAAAGTGCCGGGAGGCGTGATCGCATCAGTCTCGCCTCGTTTCAGCTGGGTGATGTAGACTTTGAGGAGACGAGACCTGGAAGTACAGGACGAGGTGCGGATTGAGGAACATTCATCTGACTGCAATCTCTTACAACATACGGGGCGGTGGGGTAGCCTAGTGGTTAAAGCGCTCGCTCGTCGCGCCGAAGACCTGGGCTCGATTCCCGACAAGGGTACAATGTGTGAAGCCCATTTCTGGTGTCCCCCGCCGTGATATTGCTAGAATATTGCTAAAAGCTGCGTTAAACAATACTCACTCACTCACAACATACATTATATACTCACTGGCTAACTGACTGTGGTCATAGCATACTAATAACATGACAAAAAAATTGAGCAGGGCTAATACCCCCGACCTCGACTTCAGCATGTTTCTAAGTTTAAAACATGAAACAACAAAATAATTCTCACAAAAATTTTCGAAATCAAACTCTACACTGCACCTTTCCCATTGGTATAGAAATGGTATCATTAGTTAGAAAAGAATTCACAAAGTAGTTATAGATAGCACAATTGCTGAAGAAAAAAAATATATTCTAAGTTCAATACATGAAGAAAATCATATTTTTTCAGAAAATACACACATCACAATTAAACTTTTCACTTTTTACAGAAATAAGCATCCTCTTTGAGGATGCTGATAACACGTAGAAGCTTTTAAGATATATACAGAATACTAAACGAGCTTCCATGTAATACCAATTTTATGAAACGAGTGAATAGTTCTGGTATCTGACGAGCGAAAGCGAGTCAGATACCACAACTATTCACGAATTTCATAAAATTGTTTTTACACGGGAGCGAGTTAAGTATTTTATTTATTACTGGCCATTTATAACGTTTTTAGAATTATACTGTCAAAAGTTGAAACGTATGAATTTAATACCATACAACGGTCCACCTTTAGAATTCAGGAGCCCGTTCCACAAAAGTATCGTAGAGTTAAGATTATCGCAACTCATATACTTTAACTTAGACCAACGACTTTCGTTGCGCTACCGTACGATCGCCTTGTGGAACGGGGCCTTGCGCCTCAAAGTTTACAATCACGTCACAATACCCGATGACGTAATTTGTGGAATTTTGTTGCAAGATCCTTCTGCGAAACAATGCCATGTGACGTCAGCCTAGCAACAAGGTTGCTGGGGTCATCGAGTGTGCATAAGCTCCTCTCAGTGATCTATCATCTCCACACGCAATGTCGTTGAATAAGCCAAGGGATGTTGTGAGCTTTCAATATTTGTTCGTGAAACGTGTTCCGAGAGTACATAAGCACGCGTTTTGGTATTACACAATGTGAAATACAGCTGTATGTTTATTAAACGGGTGATCTCTTCACGGGCAAGTAATAAATACCTGTATTTAAATAACGACGAATCCCTGAATACAATCCGACCTCTGCCATGTCGGACAAGTTCATTTTATGAACAGGGGGGTTACGTCCGGTATTTCATGCATATTCTCGTAATTTTCACGTCGAATATCTGAACCTTTTCTCACATTATTGTCATATCCGATTGTCATATCCCGTCCACTTTGGGATGCGATGATTCGGCCATTGCGTTTATCTGCGTTGCCGTGTTACATATTATATATATATATATATATATATATATATATATATATATATATATATATATATACACACACACACACACACACACACATATATATATGGGAAACAACTCAATCGACACGTCCCTCTAAAACTTAAAATCGACCAATTTACGACGTTATCAAGGTGCGAGCGCATGTTCGAATCTCAGGAAATGACGTAATAAAAGAACAATGTTTTATCGTGAAGTAAACTACGCTTGGTTTTTCATTGTTCTTTGCACCGCCTCCGTGGTCTTGTGGTAGAGCGTCCGCCCGGAGAGCGGAAGGTCCAGGGTTCGATCCCGGGCCGCGTCATACAAAAAGACATTAAAAGATTGTACTTGTTGTTACCCTGTCTGGCGCTCGGCATTAAGGGGCTAAAACAAGGACTGGTCGGCTCGGAGTCAGTATACTGTGTCTGAGTGGGGTATTCATGTTAAACTGCGGCATGGTATCTCAGTGAGCTAGCACTATAAATCGGCATCAGTCCGGACTAGTACAAGCAGCCACACACACACATACACGTGCATGCACGTCGCTATATAAGTGCAATAATCTTGGACGCGACGTTAAACCCAATTTCACCTCACCTCACCTCACCATTGTTCTTTGCGATATATCGCGTAGCTATGTTACATTTAAGAAATAATGACTCGTGGTCGTTGTTTGTCGTACAATAAAACACTGCAGGGAAAATCAACCATACTTACCGCAGTACCGAGTAGTTTCTCCCTGCAGTGTTTTATCATAAGGGTAACGCTATTTTTCAGGGCATTATCCTTTGCAGAAGCTCGAGGTCTTCCAACTGGCCGCGGACCGTGGGCTTCTGCAAATGATACATTCGTCACCACTCGCGCCTTTCCGTAACCTGCAAGAAGTTTCGTCCCCCTATCGATGAATGTTATGTGCGAAAATACGACAAACCAATCAAAATGCGCGTATGATTTCAAGTTCTTTCTTTCAAGTATATCTTAAAATATACCCAAGACACAGTAAAATGTGTTCAATCATACTGTATAATTTCGCACGTCCCGATGCACTTGAAATTTCATCTGAAATATATATAATATATGGGGAAATATATGTGCACCATTACGCAACGAGTTGACAATTGTTTTAGGTATGCCCGTTTGCACTAAGACGGAACCCGGTCGCAAAAATGGCCATGAGAGGGGCACGAGTCGCTATTCGGCTAGTCCCGGAATAACACGAAGTGGTCACGAATGCAAATGATAATGCCCTGAAAAATAGCGTTACCGTTATTATAGCTGAAATGGTGAAATTTGTTATCAAATAAAAAGAAACAACAATATCGGTTTTGAAACATTTTCTGCAATCAACACGAATGACACTGACCCACTTTTACAAATATGGAAACGTCATAGAACAAACCAGATGACGTCACTATAATACGTGACGTCACTTTCTCTACCCTATGACGTCACCTAACAACGGGCTTGATAATGGCCCGTTGTCAAGCAATATGAGGGCATTATCAAGTTACATTGGCCCGCTCATTCCTGATAACGTGCGGGCGGTTTAATGATAATTCTATCCATTTTAGCCTTATTATAATGGTAACGCTATTTTTCAGGCCATTATCAGCCCGAGGTCTTCCATTAACGGCCCGACGAAGGAGGGCAGTTGAAAAGACCGAGGGCTTCTGCAAATGATAATGCCCTGAAAAATAGCGTTACCGTTATTATAGCTAAAATAGATGGAATTTGTTATCAAATAAAAAGAAACAACGATATCGGTTTTGAAACATTTACTGCAATCAACACGAATGCCACTGACCCACTTTTACAAATATGGAAACGTCATAGAACAAACCAGATGACGTCACTATTGAACGTGACGTCACCTATCCCTATCCTATGACGTCACCTAACAACGGGCGTGATAATGGCCCGTCGTTAAGCAATATGAGGGCATTATCAAGTTACAGTGGCCCGCTGATTTCTGATAACATGCGGGCGGTTTAATGATAATTCTATCCATTTTGGCTATAATATAAGGATAAACAACGAGCACGAGTCGTTTATGTCTTATATGGGATATCAACATTATGTACAGCCTCTTTAAGGATGATGATAAAATGTACCCGTATATTTATAATGACGACACCCTGTATAGAATGCGACCTCGGCAATGTCAGTCAAGTCCATTTTTTTAAAAGGGGTATTACATTTCCCGCATATTCTCACAATCTTCACGTCGATTATCTGTCCCATTTCTACTAATATCGATCGTCACAACTCTCTCGTTCTTCATAGCGATTTATCGCGTAGCTATCTTATATAGATATATATGGTTATGGATCATATGGTTTTACATATTGTGGTCTAGTAGATAGAGCGGCTGCCCGGAGAGAGGAATATCGGTGGTTCGATTCCCGGTTGCGTCATACCAAAATACGTTAAACTATGGAAAAGATAGGGGTAAAAAGAAGACAACCTACAAAACTCACTGACTTCATCTATCGATGAGTAAAACGGGTCATGAGGTATGTGGGACGCTTTATCTTAGAAGTTCCCGAGAGAAGAGATTGTTGTCGGTTACCGACCCTCTCGCCTCACGAGTCCTTCTCATAGATAGGGAGCATGCACTGCTATAGTGAGGAGACACTTGAAACCCAATATGCAATATTTATAGCGAAAAATAACTGAGCAAAAATACAACAGCAGTATATATTGATTTTCATTGATATCTTTGCCCGCATTCTCATCTTCATCCTCGCACATGTCGACAACACAGCCGTCGCACACCTCCATAGTATCGACCGCTAACACGTTCCTAACATCACAATTGCATAACCCCTTGAATAATTGGGTTGACGCGGGCGTTACGGTAAGCTGGATACCCGTCTTTCGCTGTCTATGTGAGGGCACTATCTCCACTGGCACGGCATGTGGCCATTTCCTACGCCACTAATCGCCTGACATTGCGATTGCATGGTTTGAGGGATAGTTGCACGACTTCCTCGTCAGTTGTGTTAATGTAAGCTATAAGGGGCATAGGGGAGACAACTCGCACATCATCGTCAACATAGTGTTCATTTTCTTGGTTTCGGCTTACCATATCATTTATATTCCCATTTTCTCAAATGTTTATTTAGTATTATATACTACATGCGCCCGCTAGAAAGCCTGTAGTTGTCCAGTTGGCTCACTGTCCGTAACCTATACTAATCCTTTATGAGCAGGTATGTACCCTGGTGCATTAGAACACCAGCTTCTGCAGCGTAATGTCGCACATGACAGAGAAGGGAATTGTTTCTAGGAGTAAGCTAGTGATTAACTACCTTGCCTTACAGGACACCAAATAGGCCACACGGCTGAGGCTTCCAATTAGGAAAAAAAATGATCTTGCAAACATCATCATTTCTCCTTTTTGATTATCCACCACATTTATTATTGGGATATCAATATTTGCCAAGAGAAAATAAATGATATACAATATGGCCTCTTTTATAGCCTAAGTGTGCTCAAAGCGCATAAAATCAAATTGTCACTTTCATCTTGACCCTTAATGGTTTTGCAACATAAATGACGTTTCATAGACCTACCTTCATTGGAATACTCCTCCTCATCATCACAAGCTCACCTCATTCTGGACTCACGGTCGCATCATCATCATCATCATCATCATCATCATCACAAGCTCACCTCATTCTGGACACACGAGCGCAGTGTACCAGGATCGCCAACAGTGCCACGGCTGCCCCCACCCCGCCTCCAAGGATAAGAAGCTGGTCGTAGCTTTGGTCCCAGGCCTCCTTACCCCGATGGACGCCAGTACCGACTACAAGCGCTGCATGGGCGTCATCTAAAACACAAGGAAAAACTTCGTGCATAACGAATTACACCTTGATAAATAATTCGTTAGGGACGCACTATTTGATATTCTTATCAATGGCCAGTTTTTTTTAACAAAATATATTGTTCAAGTAGAAATAATATCTTTAAAAAAATTGTTTCGCTTCGCATTTTGAAGATGTGATATAAACAAGTTCAAATCTCTGATCACTGCTCCTGTGTATGTAAATTGCCGTTAATGTGACTTCTTGGACTCAGACCTGCTCTGTTTTCTGGTCATTAGACACTCTCCTACCCAGAGTTCCATGCGACCAGCATAGTACCTCTGCCACAGGCCAGCGCCATGTGACGAATCGTCACATCTCACACAGTCCATTCAAAATATTGCATATGTTTTCCATCTGTTTCATTTTGACAAGTCTACATATCTAGATAAACATATGTCATAGAATGGTTAACTTTCATTGAGAAAATATCCTAAATCGTGAAAACTATTTCCATTTGCGTAGTTATCCTATGTTTACATTGGTTGTACGGCTCCGCGTGCTGTCATCGAAGCCCTACGGAGAGCCAGCGATACGGTCACTTTGATGCGTAAATATGTATTGTCCTGCAACTCACTGTCGCAGTTGTAGTAGCATATCTATATAATTATGCAAACCAATATGTAAAGAACCCCCAAATACTTGCATTAAAGTACTGTCGAGAATGCTAGAAAACTGCTTTTCTGGCTTAATTTAATAAATACGAGTCATAGGACTATAAATAGAGCATGTATCAAAATAACGAAAATTGCCCTAATCTAGCCTGTCCGAACTGACACTGTGATTACGCTTAAATGTACTTTTACAGGTAAACTGATGATCAACTTAGAAAATATTCGTGTGTTGTCATGCATGTATGAAATGGCCTATAACCTGAGGTAATTACCTAACACCTGTCCCGAAGTGATGACCTCACAGTCCCGTGCATTCTCCCAGGTGCCAATGTCACTGAGTTGGGGGTGGTCTCAAAATATCACTGTTATTGTACTTAATTGACATGTGGGTTGATGGGGCAGCAATTTAGGATATGTACTGCATTATAGTTGCTTGGAAACATGATGGAATAGTTTAGAGCTATGAAACGGGATGAGTATTGGAAGGTTGCGGTTTTGGAATCCAGAAGTATTTGTTGTTCTACACATGATTTCTTGAGGTAGCATTTATCTCCGCTGATGACGTATATGAATCTGTACTTTTGAATGTTGTGTTATGTCTTGCCACGAACCCTTTACACTTAGCCAAGATGGGCACAACAGGGTTAATCTCACAATGTCTGACTGGCATATGTAGCACAACGTAACCGTGTTGTGCCGCAAACACATATGTCCTGTACTTTACAGGGTTCTTATTCAGCCGAATTTTCTCCATGAATTGAACATTCGTTTCATAAGTCGACCAATGTCATATATTCCTGTATGGTCGCCTTCAGATTACTGATGGTTTGAGCGACAGAATCTGATTCCCGGACGCTACATTAACTGGCGTTATCCATGACAATGACAATGACGTTGTTTAAAATGGGCAATTGCTGAAGTTCCAACTAGTCTATGAACACATCACCTCCTATAATTTCCTTATGAAAATCACCAGTTTTCTTTTTCGCCTCGAAAACTAACACACATCCATCAATTAGCCCAATATCATGGGATGCAGCGTGCAAAACAATGACACGATTACCTTTACCTGATGGTCTGTTGGTGCTTTTTGTCCATATGCCGATAGCCAGATGTAGTCAGTGGAATGAATCATCAAGGTAAATCAGGACGCCCTTACTGTGATAGTTATGAATGGTTCGGAGATAATGTGACCTCATAGACAGGATGGAATATTTTCTCCTGAAAAGTGCTCGGTCATCGCCACGCGCAGTGTATCGAAATCCCATCTCTTGGAGAGCAATAGTTCGTGCAGTTAACATTAATTGTATCTCTAATTCCTCCCTAATTCTACTACAAGTGGGGTTACCTTCTGCTCATAAAGCTTGTACACTATACGCCTAATCACCCTTCATCAAAGCTGTCTAATATCCTTTTACGTCCCAGTTTTGTTTTTGAGACCACTCCTATACCTTTTTTTAATATTTATCATACCGTAGACTTGATGGTATGAATTAAAAACCCAATAGCTTGGGCAGTTCGGTAAATCACCTATCTAAATTAATAAATGGTTTCCCTCTATCTCTCTAAAGTGCAAAGAACTTGTATACATTTCCCAGCACAGACTCCATATTGTGTACCATGGTTATGGCTATGCAAGTGTAATGTAACATGCTTCATGGGAGCAATGTTAACAAAGCAAACGCATCGTCATTTTGTCATTTTAGAAGATGCACATCTAGAATTTTCACAGATGTTTTATGAAGACTACATTATTATCATTATAACGGAGTCACGTGCGCATATTTCTATAGCCCGTTTCAAATTGCCACCAATGGACTTAAATAAAAATGTAAACTTCCTGTTTTCGTTCGAATTTGTCTCCTGTAAACTTGTCGATAGGACTCCTTGTGACTGAAATACTTCAAACCACAGGTAGTCCGAATTACTCGATATTTTAATAACAACAGTCTGTGAAAAATTATATCCTTTTTTAACAGGCAAAAGGCAGTTTTCTAGCATTTCTGACAGTACTTTGTTCCGTTCTATTCTGATTTCTGAAAAAGCGCGTTTGTTTTCAAACAAGAGAAAAGACCTGTCACGTGATATGCAAATTAGCCTGTGACAGTGGTATTATGTTAAGTCACCAACTGCGCCGGGATGTGGTCATTAGAGCCGGCGAGCGGAAGTTCGGTGATACTTATTACCTTCCTTATCTGACTTTCCCGTCGGGCCGGAATGAGTCGGAGGGGCATCTACGGACAAAATCGTTATGACATTAAATACAGCCATTCAAAAAACATTTCCACAATTATTTATTTAAAAAAAATTACTACCATGTAACAAATAAAAACAAAAACACAAACAACTGGACTTGATCTGCCAACAAAGTTCGTGAAAGGAAAACCAATGGTCTGGTCTAAGGGACACAACTCTACCGAACTTATCGCCAGTGTCGGAGACGGTGGCCATGCTCTGTCTGTGCAGTGTCCGGTTCAAGGCCTTCACAACACGTTTTAATAGCTTTATAATGATATTCCCCACGGAACTATTTTTTGTATTTATAACACCCGCCCTTAAAATTATGATGCATATGTTCTGGATCTCAGTTTGCACATAAGAAAGCGAGTATCGGAAGTTAACTTTATGCAACTGGTTTCCTTGCCCATAGTACATCTAGGATACATAATACAATGACAAACATGCACCATCTGATAACCATGCGATCTTGGGATTCCTGACAACCATAATTACCAGACGTCTAGAAAATCCTAATTGTACCTTTTTGTAATTTACACATTCTAGGATGGTTAAGATGAGAACGTGCCTACGTAGCGTGCTACAGGAAACAAAACCGACTTAAAACTCAAGTCATAAAGTTATTACAACCATTTGAAGCTTACCTAAAACATATAACATTACTCGATCTCGTTTTCCACACTGCCCTTTTGCATTGCAAGGACTGAGGCAATGCTCGAGAGGAACACGGGTGGAGTCTTTCAACCGGTTGTCACATCGGCACAGTTGAGAATACGCCTGGAACGATATTTGCATTTAATTAGTGAGTGAGTTGGGTTTCACGCCGCTTTCAACAGAATTTCACGACCATTACGATGTGTGAGCTTGATGTAGAAGGAAAGCCTTTAGACGTTTGCCACTTTAGTGAAACCCACGAGAAAGTGTATGGTGCTGACAAATCAGGAAACATAATCAGGGCGAACAGGGAATTGAACCCGCGATCGTTGGGTTTCTGACAAGCTCATAATATTTCTGATACTATCATAGTGTTTCTGAAACGCTCATAAGGTTTCTAACAATATCACAGTGTTTCTGACACGCAAATGAGAAGTAACAGCGAGTGGCGGCGCCTTAAACTAGTGCCCTCTCTTATTTGATTCAAATTTTAAAAAAAAACAATATTCACATTCCCACTGCTCGATGAACTTTCCTTTGAAAAAGAGAAAAGGTGATAAAAATAATAATAACAAACTATGATAATTAATAATCATTGTTTTCACACTGTTTCAGAATGGCGAAACGAGAACATTATTAAAATGCAATGCACATTCAATATGATCAAATTATAAATCTTCCTTTATGAACATATTTCCTTTTACGTGTTTTCATTTTCATACGTGTTTTTATCTGACGTGTTTGTGCAGCTGAATGACATACCTCGATCGCAGCGAACGTATAGTTCTGCTGTCTGCAGTAGTTCACACACCAAGCAGGGCCGCTGTCTCTTTGGTCATGTGGACGTCGGATAAAGGCCTTGAGGGCGAACTTTGATGGACGAAAGCAACCGAGGTGTACTGGAAGAGTTGCAGATGATAATTGTATCACAAACAGCCCAGAACCCTGTTGATCCTACCTACCTGACGCTTGTTTGAAAGTATTTTGTTGAAGGGGGGGGGGGGGGGGATGTCGTGGCAAACCTTTTACACAGTAGAACCATGTGGGGAATCGAACAACGATCAACCAAGAGCGAACGCTTTAACCACAAGGCTACCCCCTTTCTCCTCGTACCTTTAATATACTTAATCACATGTTAATTACTGTTGCATACAAATCTTCGTAATTGTACTTTTACACCCAAATTGAAAAGAAATGGTATCCAGATATATGCAAGCATACCAGATAATACGTGCAACTTCCAAAGATATCTGGACAGATAAGAATGGATTAAAATACAACAAACCGGCAATTTTGTTGCACTGGTAAGATTGGTTATTATCATTACACTCACACAGGGTTGTAATTACTGCCATTCTAAAACACAACAAAGACATTGTGTAAAGATGTTAAAGCCTACAACAACATAACCGCAACTTGGTACAATTCCCCAAATTCTGAATTATTTAATAGTACTCATCTTACCGTGGTTTTTACTGATGCCACGATCTGTACATAGAACCACCATCAAGAAGAGCCACCATTTCATCGAAATCATTCTTGCATTCGCCCATCTTGGATTGTCTGAACGACAGTTTTGTGACGTCATCAAATTCTGTAAATAGCGTCATTATGACGTCATGATGTTTATGACGGGTACTGATAGACTGGGTTCCTGTCTACCTAAACTAAATCGCGCTAAGCTTGAGTCGCGTACCAACAGTGGAGCCAGTTTAAGGTACGAACAGACTTAAGCTGGTTGCCGGCTCCCTATGCGCGTCGTCAACTTGCGCCAAGCTAGGATCCGGTACAGGCCAAAATAAAAAAACTCAGCGTGTTTATTTGACGTCACATCCGGTGATTTTCAAAAATGGCTACGCTAATGCCGGTACAGGGGAGGGAGGGACACACCTGTGAAAAGCGTGTCATCTTGCGTTTGAAGGCTTACAAAATTCCTAAAAATGTTATGAAGTAGAGAAACTGACACAGGCTTTCCCCTTGGATGATAGAGGGACATATTTGTCCCTCCTCTTCAACCCTCACTGTGAAGTCGAATAAAATTCAAACTGCAGCAGTCACAGAGACACTTCACAGTTTTGAATACGATGGGAAATTCCCTGTTTGGTCATGTCATCCACTGGCATTTTTGGCCAAGCAAAATTACTGAAAATGAGGAGCATAGTAAATGTCGACATTTTTTTTACACATTTCTAAATTACCACTCACGGCGTTATTTACAGCATGTTTTGAAATAATAAGTTCGGCTATTCACTCGGCGAAATGAATTTCAAAAATAGCATAGCATCACCGGTATCTGTCGTTGATCAAATCCTCAATGATCATTCCAAAACGTCGCCGATAGCCTTAGAATCGTTTAGAATGTCTTGGAAAATACGCAAACACGAACGCCGAAGTGAACTTTCCGTCATATTGGATAGTGTTTACAAAATCACGTTTCACGTATACCGGTTATGAGATGCCTGTAACATCACGTTAATTTTATACTCAGCTGCGATACATACATCCTTGAATGCCTCATACAGAGTAGAATCAAATGACGCATGGTCCTTGTCACCAATACAAAGTGTGTAGATGAAATCAATCAAAATAAATTAGGTGTGAAAACGAACGCTGTGCTCGAAAAACTACACTTGTTTGAAATGTAAACAGAGCAAAATTAAGATTTTACACAGTGTAGCATTTTCTCCTATTTTGAACTATCCATTCGTCTATTCATTGAATACATTGGCACAACAATTTCAGAACAGTGAACACGCCATTTTGTAAAAGTCGGTCACCGGTAGTGATGTCATACGCGCCAACGTTGTTGAACATATTAGGTAATTTCTTGGAGGTGAAGGTCCTTGAACAATGTTGAATGAAAGCACACACGATCATTGTATCCTGCTGTTTACAGTTATAATTATTTTGTAGATTTTGCATATCTTTCATACATTTTTTCGCCTACTTTGGATATTTGTCAATGTTCGATATGATATTATACGTAGATCTAGGCCACAACGTGTATCTACCTTTGATAATCTCCTGTTTGTTTGGACAGGAAATTGATAAGTTTATATATATAGTGTCGTATACGATATTTCTTTAATCTGGACAGTGTTACATCATTACCTTACGTTGAGTCACATATTTTTGACAATGCAGTTAATAATGAACTGTACAATGTGCAGAAATGTTTTTATTATGCTAAATATTGAGATATGCAAGACAGCAATGCCCGAGACGAGGTAAGAGAACCTCTTCTCTCTGATTGTTTGGGGATAGTTGTAATGCATTAATAAAAGTTTCGATGCCACAGAGATAACTCCTTTTGAGGATGATGCCCATGTCTGTCATGTTCAGTAATATGGAATGCATACCATAAGACCCCATACCATCTTTCCAACGATCTTGAAAATTATCAACATAATCACTTAACACAGGTTTGATTTATGTAAATAGTTACTAAATACCATCCATGTTTAAAAGAAAATCGACACCTGGACGCACCCAGGTGCAATCTTAGACTACATTACTACTATAGTATTATTTGTAACACTTTGAAACGGAATGTCACCTTCATACTGCTGTCACTCAGCTACAACGTTGTACAAAGTTAGAAGTGATGACTGGATGAATGAATAGAAACAATCCATTATGATTCTGCCCATTTGTTGAGGAATGGACATTGACTTATTTCGTTGGTATTATTAATTGTAATGCATTTGAATGTTGTTTAAAAATATATAGCTAGAAAATATCAACATCGGCCATCGTTAATTGCTATTCTATTCCAATTTCAATATTTTCAACAGAGGTTTTATCATTTTAAACGTAATCATCCAATAAATACATTGCAACCATGCACATACGAGTCGTACAACACATTTCTATTTTGTCAGAAGAGTCAAATCATATTTATTACGAGTTATTCTTTATTCCTTAAATGGAACACCAACCCTCTTAAAATAAACTTTTTCGACGTCATGGAATGGAAATATTTGGAATATTTTCAATGCGACATTTATACTTTATGGGTGGCTCTACATATGTCGACATATATAAACTTCCTACATGCGTATCTCGTTCAAATACCTGAGAATATTTTATTCGCTCAAAGTTTTCTGACAAGTGTATAATAAATATTTTTCTCGCATAGCACAATTTGGGGGTGTATTCGAAAACCTGCGAAATGTTCATGCAAAGAATACGCTAGACTATGTTTACTATCATTTCTCTTACATATCGATATCATGCAGTAAAATATATGAAGAAAATAATTTTGGAAATTTAATTTCCTACAATTAATTACAATTTAAAGTTTGAAGGTCTTTCCTGCACCCGACGGTGGCACATCTAACAAAATGACTTAAAGTAGTTTGTGACGTTTCTCAGTGGAGGCTTTTGTAGAAGGGTAGCGCGTCGTCTAAAAATAGCGACCAATGAAAAATTACATAACATAGTGTATGTTTAATATTTCGAAGGCGCTCACAGCCATCGTCTCATTGGCCTGTACCGGCTCCTATATTGTGATATTGGAGACGGGGCCCAGCTTAGAACAGACTGCCAGGCGGTCTATTCACGAAGCTGAGATTGTCGTAAAGGTGCCGTAGTGAAAGCGAGATCTTAGCTCAGTCTATTCTCGAAGTTATCTGAGCATGCGTATACGAATTTAAAATGCGAACACTTTCCCGAAATTAACGAAAAAGTTATTATTAGATCTAGATATATGTTTCTTTCATGCTGTATGATAATAAACGTCACATAGAATGCACGTAACAAGAAACGGCCAGTGAATCCAGTACGTAATAACGCTAAATCAATGTTCGCCGAAAGACAAAAACACCACATGAGTTATCGGTCTTTGATATGGCGTCATCGGAGCCAACAATCGCGAAAGTTTCGATCTGTTCGTTCAAATTCCAAGATTCGTTCGTGTTTTGTGCGGATTGAAACGATGCTACTGTAGTGAGTTTATGTTTCAGTATACCAAAGACCCTGCAATGTGTATGTATTACCACGCAAAGACTCAGAACTATGAATCAAGTGTTTTTTTTTGTAAGAACATGTTTCGAAATACCACGAATCCTCGATGTATCACATTCTTCTGAAACAACAAGAGGACTGATGCCTACACAGTTCAATTATCAGTTTTGGAAAAAGGAAGTTCATTGTAATGCTAAGTAAATTACATAAAGATGTCCCGTATTGTCCCCTGAACACAATAGAGTAGAAAATTTGCTCTTGGTCTCATCCTAGTGGTCCTCGTTATAGAGTGCTAATCGGGATGATGGTCTTTGTGATTCTGTCGAAATAATTTTAGTAACCAGTAGCAGAACTGAGAACGCATTTTGGTCACTGAAATAGGGAGATCCATGTTTGTAGTGCCTATTTGTGCACTTGCCTAAGGCTACTCACATATGGCATCACCTCACTGCCCACATCGACAGCCCGGTCGGTCGACATACTCTCAGAGTGATGTCCCTTGATTATGCTGAATCATATATATATATGCAGACAATACTTTTTTCGCAAGGCAAGATATAGACACTGCTCACGTGTTGGCACAGATTCTTTGAGAATTAAACTTTTAAAAAAAGTGAATTTATCAATAATTCAAGTTTTGAATTTACATTGTTTTCATTATGCAGTTTTACAGCAATTACGTTTACATATTTTACTGTCGAAAAGTGAAAGGAGAGTTTCTTATTTTTCGTGTGAACAGTCGTTACTGCCACCTACATGTAGTTAGAGTTAGAATCGCTTTTGAGGGTCGGACCTGTCTCAGAGCCCTTTTTAATAATAATAATAATAATAATAATAATAATAATGATGATGATGTACATAGGCCTTTCAGTCCATAATTCTTAGTACAAGCAGTTTATGTGATAAATACTAAAACGTTATCCTGATTTTCATTGTTAATGTAAGAGGCGACTATAACGGGATCAGGTTGTCAGGCTCCCTGACTTGGTTGATGCATGTCATCGATCCCAACTTCGTGTATCGATGCCCATGGTGTCAATCACTAGATTGTCTGGCCCAGACTCGGTTATTTACAGACCGCCGTCATATAGCTGGAATATTGCTGAATGCGGCGTTAAACAACAAACAAACAGACAAACAAACAAACAAAGCATATAAACAAAATACAACATACTGCTGACCTATCGGGAGAAACCTGTCCCAAGTGATTACGTTACATTACACAGGTGAGATGGCGGCCAACAGATGGCAGTATGTGTCTATTGAATCTGAAAAACCGAGTGATTTCCGCTTGCTATTACAAAACACAGACCCAACACGACCCAACCATTGTACTTACCGATGTGACACTAAAAGCATTTCGAATTGCACTTGCAAGATTCATATGTGGTTCACACGAACTCTTTATCGAGACGGGAAGATATAGGGGGATCGAGAGAGAACGCAGAATTTGTCAGTTTTGTGATTTAAACACTGTAGAAAGTGAAATCCATTTCTTACTACTTTGTCCGTTGTATGCTGAACTCAGAAAAAAGTTATTGATAATTATTATATCCGTTATCCAAGTCTACAGACACTTGTTACATTAATGTTAAGTAAGAATGTAGCAATAACGAAAAAAACTGTCAAAGTACATATTGCATGCTATAAAGCTAAGCAGCTCCAAATTGCTATATTGCTATATAACATGTACACTCTTCAAAAAAAGAAACGCACAGGTAGTATGTAGTTCATTGATTCTGACTACACAAAAAATATAAATTGTATTTATATGTTATTGGAAAATGTTGGTGTCCTGATATTCGACAAACGGTGTGTCAAAACGCAGCCATTGTCGATTTGCAATGTCTTGAAAAGCATTCATGTTTTCACACTTGTCATGAAGAAAAACAGTAAAGCCAAATAAACGTGCAAGTTATGGCATTCGTAACTCGTGGTAGTGGCTATAAAAAGGCAAGCATAAGCCAATAACTTGTCATTTAATTGTCAACACTTTCTAAGTTCGAAAATGCCATAGGACGTATTCAAAGAGGGGAAATGCAGTCTTCTATTGCACGCCACTTCAACGTCCACCACAGCATCATTTGCCGCCTTTGGGACCGATGCACACAGTTCAATTTCACTGCAGACCGTCAAGAGAACCGTTCGACCAAGAGTTACTGGAGAAACTGGAGGCGAGCGTGTTTTAGCGATGAATCACGATTTCTTCTTCACCGGCAAGATGGAAGATAACGTGTTTATCGTCGTCGAAATGAGCGTTTTGCCCCGCATTGTGTACGTGAATTCGACACTTTCGGTGGCGGTAGTGTCATGGTGTGGGGGGCCATATCCTACACCACGAGATCTGACTTGGTTGTGGTTCAGGGAAATTTGACAGCAAATCGCTACATGAATCAAATTCTTCAACCTCACCTTCTACCAATCATTGACCGCCCGAGGGAGCTGTTTCAACAGGACAATCCTCCACCGCACACAGCTCGTGTCACGGTAGACTACCTTCATAATGCGAACACCAACGGCTTGCCCTGGCCGTCAAGATCTCCAGATCTTAACCCAATCGAACACCTCCAGGATGAATTCGATCAACGTGTGCGTTAACGTCAGAACACGCCGCAGACACTCCCACATCTGGCCAACGCGTTACAAGCAGAATGGGGCCGGAATTCCGCAGGACAGAATCGTACACTTATCCAGTCAGTGCCAAGGAGATGCAGAGCCGTGATTGCTGCCCGGGGCGGTCACACGAGATACTGAGTTTAGCGCAACCCTGTGGCCTTATGTGACAGGACAATGAACAGTTTTCAATGCCGTTGTATTTGTACAACGACAACATGTGACTATCGAGTTCCAAAATTTCATATTTGTAACTGTGATATTAATCTAAATATATCGACTTTATCAGGTACAATAAATTTATTAAAAAGCTACCTGTGCGTTTCTTTTTTTTCTTGAAGAGTGTATAGTTATGCTTCAGACATGAAGCCAACCTTCTATTTCCATATGAGTCCGACTTGCTACTTTGTAAAGGCAAAATACATTTTAAACCATAAATTACTGAACAGCAAAAGACACTTTAAACACTTAAATGGAGTGTTAAAGTACACGTTATGCTCTGGTAGCCTACCTTGCGCCGGTGTAGGAGGCCGAACTCAATCTCATGCTCAAATCACTGAAGATTGATTTGAGCCGAGGCTGAGATCACGCCCAGTAGACTGAGATGACTCCTCCCTCGTAGGTCCAAATGACGCTGTGAGGTGGTGAGGCGGTGAGACGGTGACGTGGTGAGGCGGTGACGTGGAGAGGCACGATTATCTTTTATTTTTCATTATCAATTATGGGTGGACACAGAACATCCTTTGAAACTCTACTGTTAATGTATAACCGCAAATTATGTACATTGTCCGTCTCTGTCTGCTGTCACAGTGGGAAATTATGTATTAGTTTGCAATTAATCAATAATTTGCGAAATTGAAAAGAAAGCTAGTCAAGCTACTGGCTCTTGATTTCACATTTTCTGTGAGTGAGCTCAACCTTTCTCCAGTCCATTAACTCGATACTCAGGAACAGTGTTCATACAAGAAGAAGCGTGCATAAAAGGAATTTTGTACTGCTTGTCAACACCACACTGCATAACCTTTTAATGTGATTTAACTGCACCACATTAGAGTGGATTTGGATTGTATGTTAGCTGTAATGTCGGAATGTGTGGAGATGATGTAAGTTGCTTGGAGCGAACGCTATGTTGTAGGTGATGAGTGAATGAGTTTGAAAGGAGGCTTTGACGTGATTATCAGTGCAGTCTAACACAGACGGTATGGGTTTGGGGGTGTTTTCAAGGACATACAAGGCCTCAGTAAAAGCTTAAAAAGGTTAATAGTAGGAACGTGGAGGACATTTTGAAAGTCGAAACATCAGTGACAAAATGATGTCAGATGCATTTACCTATTTTGACTTGTACTATATGTTCTCATGTGTTTTCAGGTGCCTTGCGTGTGTTTGCGACGGGTGTCATTGGTAGGGCTGGTTAAGCTCGCTGTTTTGCTAACACCTGCTATCAGTGATAGTGATTCAGTAACACGTGCTCACGTGCATACACTATACACATTTGACCACGCTCAGGGAAGTGAATGGGATTTAGATGTGTGATATATCACCAATAAAGAGTAAATAGCAAAAGGTACAAGTCGACAACCTGGTCTTTGTGGGTGCAGAGCTTCAAGTGAGAGTACCTATTAGTTCCAGAGATATGGTCCGGACAAAAACACCACAATGAACAGTAAGTGAGTGAGTGAGTGAGTTGGGTTTAACGCCGCTTTTAACAGTATTCCAGTTATATCACGGCGTGTCAGCTTAATGTGGGAGGAAAGCCCCAGGTGATGCCGTTCCTAGACGTTCGGTGAAACCCATCAGCACGGGTATGGTGCTGACAAACCTAGAAACATTATCGGGGCGAACCGGGATTCGAACCCACAGTCATAGGTTTCTGGTATGCCCAAGGTACACAACTCTGCACAGCGAATCGCGGCGCCTTAGACGACTGGACCACACGTGCCCCCTCACCAATAAAGAGAATAATCTGTAAGATAATGGGACCCCCATCTTCACTTTACTGCGTAAGATGTGAGCCATAATCACAGGAAGAAATCGCCGCAAAGAGACGATTGTTGGTGCAGCGTTAAACAAAAATAACTCCAAAAAAATGGATATGTTTAGTTTTATAACATCCTAAACAATACAAATATTAATTACTTGTTATGTTTTTTGCCGTGTATCGAATATACTACACACAAGAATAAGAAATGTGATATGGGATAAAGTTTGTGGTGTTCGTTGTCAACTCTGCCATTAGTGTAATTGTTTATTATTATTTTTGGCCATAACCTGACATGAAGTTGACACACACATGGACATGTTTGGCCCATGATTATAAAATTCTGAGCGTCTATTGGCCCAAAACAGAGAAAAATAATTCTAAAATCTCCTACTAGGCGAAATCTACCATTTGAAATCAAAATAACAAAGCAGATTGGAGTCATCCACACATCCAAGGGGTGCATCTATATCACAATTCCAGGATATTTCTAGAAAGAAAACTCTGTTTTTCAATAATGTGTACTATACGTGAATAGTTTCATATTGCTGATTAAGCGTTAAGATACATACTCTCGCTAACTGATCATCGACATTCGTGTAATGGTTTTAATATCCAATCAAGTGTATATGTTCTTAGTGTGTGTGAGGTGGATTCATCAAGGTTCATTTGTAGCTTCAAAATCGTAATTAGTTATATCACTGAACATTGGTCAATACGTTTATTCAGTAAACAAGGATCTGAGCAGACAGGGGCTTCGTGGAACTTCCTTCAGGGAACACACGCTGCGCTGATTGGTGATTTTCTAATCTTTGTTGGAACTAGCACTTGTTTGGCAGATAGGTTTCGTTAATACTTGTAATCGTGTTGTCTCTTTCCTATCCTTAATCACAAGTGGCTTGAATCCCATTG